CCCCCCCCCCCCCACACACACACATAGTAGTTGCATTCCTTTCAGAGAAGATACACATTTTATAAAACTAAATATAATATGCGATACTCACAATGAAAAGTTTGGAGCGAACTTGCTGAAAACTAAACAGCGCAGGTTGTTATAAGAAAAATTTTTGTTGCAAATTTGATTGAGCATCAAAAGTTTGCGGCAAGTTTTCGCAAAGTCTTTCTCCTCTTTCAAATTTTACAGTTTTTCATATACATGGTAAAACTCCTTCTTGAAAATTGGCAGCAAATTTGCGACAACGGTTTGCAAAAAGCCTAAAATTTTGTCTAGGGTAAAATTCACTTCAAGCTAGATATAGGATATAACAGATGATTCTTTCTTCAATAACCATGGTTAAGATACATGAAGATGCAACAACTTGAATGCCCATTATCTAAATGTATTTTATCTCCATACTACGCATACTACAAAAAATTCCTCCGAAATGATAAATCTTTTCCAAAGAATGTTTGCAATTGTTATCTAACATCTATTCGAATGTGTTTGTCTTTGCTGGCTAAACAGGTAGCAAACTATTCAATTTGTTTTTATTTTATTTTCTTTCTTCGTCCCCAAGGAGAGGCGGTTGGTGTCGGGGTCTGTTCGTATGAGGTGCTTGACTCTGACGTGGTAGCTGGTTCTAATGTCATAGTTCTCACTGACGTCGTAGTTGGTATTAATGCGCTAATCAGCGCGAGTAGCTGGTTCTGACGTCGTAGTCATTTCTGAAGAGGTAGCCAGTTTTTACGTGGTAGTCATTTCTGATGAAGTAGTCAGTTCTGACGTGGTTGTCATTTCTGACGAAGTAGTCAGTTGTGACGTGGTTGTCATTTCTGACGTGGTTGTCATTTTTGATGAAGTAGTCAGTTCTGACGTGGTTGTTAGTTCTGACGTGGTTGTCATTTCTGATGTAGTAGTCAGTTCTGACGTGGTTGTCATTTCTGACGAAGTAGTCAGTTCCGACGTGGTTGTCATTTCTGATGAAGTAGTCAGTTCTGACTTGGATGTTATTTCTGATGAAGTAGTCATTTCTGACGTGGTAGTCTTTTCTGATGTGGTAGTCATTTCTGACGAAGTTGTCGGTTTTGACGTGGTAGTCATTTCTGCCGAAGTTGTCAGTTCTGACGTGGTAGTCATTTCTGCCGAAGTAGTCAGTTCTGACGTGGTTGTCATTACTGACATAGTAGTTGTTTTTGACGTCGTAGTCAGTTCAGAAGATGTAGCCGGTTCTGCCGTTGTAGTTGGTTCTGAAGCCGTCCTGGGCCCTGTAGATGTAGTCGGTTCTACTGAGGTTGCCAATTCTGACGAAGTAGTTGGTTCTGACGTGGTTGTCATTTCTGACGAAGGTGCCAGTTCTGACGTACTACTTGGTTCTGACATGTTAGTCAACTCTGACGTCGTAGTCATTTTAAATGTAGTCATTTCTGATGTAATCGATTCTGATTTCGCCATAAAATTAGCTGTAGGAACAGGTGTTTCAGTTGAAATCCCGCTGTATTGGGTCATTTCACTGCGGGTCCCATTGAAAGTATCATTTTCTCCTAAAACAGATCAACAGTTAAGCGATGCTATGCTTTTTTTGTGTGTGAATTTATGAAGTTCCTGTGATTTCAGTGCGAGCAAAAGATATTGTTCAGTTAAGTTGCTTATTAGAATACAAATAGTAAATAACAGTTAAACACAAGCATACTATAAACTATACACATGATAACTGCTCAATGAGAGGCCTATAAATCTTCTACAGGTATAGAAATATACAAAGCTATAGGGCCCATTCCTTATGAAACTATCGTCCTACGTAGATTGACCCAACTCCGCAGGGAATCACGATGAATGATATTAGATCAACATATTGGCACTCCTCTTTTTCTACCTAGCGTACTCGCGTAATCAACAGCTTTCCTGAATTCTATTCAACTCCAGGTGGGGGCGTGTTAATCTGTTTATCTGTTTGCTTTCAGCTAGAGTCCATGCGGAGTTGGATCAATATATAGTTCATTCATTGGTAATGAGCCCTAAGACTGTTAGGGAGGGATTTATTAGAGCAGACTCACCTTGATTCCTACATGTACATGCGCAGTATTCAGAAGTAATCACGATGATTGCCACAACCAAGATAACATTGAGTAAAACAGAAAGAGACAGAACACCGTAGATAGCCAGTTGGCGGTATTTAATTCTCTTTCCCGCCTCTTCATTCGTTGGCTGCTGTGCCTCATAGTTGATATTCCCACCAGCGTGCACATCGTCATACGTGTCAGACTGTGGTCTCGTGATCGTACTTGAAGAGACCTCGTGAGCTGGTTCATACACATGAATATCGGTCATTTCTACGGTTTGTCGCTTGGTGGTTGGATAATTTTTTCCCTGGTGTTAGAACTGCACACAGCTCCGTCAAAATTCTAAATAAACTAGGGTGGGACTCGTTTTTTTTCGTTTGTAACTGGGAGCCTTCCCTATTTTCGTTTTCTCCTTATATCACCAGCGGGTTTTCTTTTCAAGATGTGCTTTCAATTGTGACGAACGCGCAGACTGAATGCACGCGTTCCACCTCACATATGATATGGTACCTTTCTTTCGTCGAACACCTGACTTTTATTTAAATTCTGGAATTTTATAGGAATGTAATTTAATCTCGTGCCTCACTTAACGCCCCCTTTCAACACGACTGGTTTGACCTCAACTAACACATCCCTCTGCCTCAAAGAACACATCGAAAGTAACCGGAACACTGGCATATAAAGGATTTTGGTAAGGTATTAAGGAAATTAACAATTACACAATAGGACAGGATTGCAAATTCGCAGCAGGTTCCTCTGTGGAATGGGAAGGAGAAACCCCCCGAGAGGAGAAGGGGAGTGATATGGGGTTTATTTTGCCCCATGAATCCGCCATTTCAATAGTTTTAGATATACTTACGCCGCTCTTAATATCGTCAGCTAACAGTTTACTGTGGTCAGCCAACTCGACCTTATCAGAAGTTATTCTTTAGGGACCTTATATGGGCCATGTTAAAACGTCTCAACATGGAGCGTCCACAACCGAGTTTAGAGGCGAATCACACCAAAGGGAGGTTCGACGGGCATGTTAAATTACGCGTTATCAAAGGACTGAGTAATGAGGAATCCCCTCCCCCACGGATATAACACAGTCTTGAACACAAGATGCGGAGCACGCTAATATTGCAGTAATATGAGTCCAAAGGGAAGGCACGCACCAAAACTTTTTGTTCTTTAAAAAATATTAGGAGATATGAGAGTAAATACAGAACGAATTTAAATAAATTACATGTATTTGTTTCTAACATTCAGTGTACATTTTGGTAGCATCTAAAACTTTCAAACTTCAAAAAATGGAGACCGTAACAGAGTCAGCGAAAGGCATGTTTCGGTGACACATTTGATCACGCCATGATCCTTTTTTTTTTTTTTTTTGAGAAATATAGTGTTTTATGGACGTGACGTGCGTTTAAAACGCGTGATACATGTAATCATAATGGCCGCCTGGATTTCTTTTGTAAAAGTGGATATTATACATTTACATTATTCGTGGAAAACACACGTTATATTTAACGTGGGACTGTGCACAACGTGTATACCGCATGTCTACTTATTACTGATGAACATTGAATCACATTAAAATAACGTGGTACCCCCTGTGGAAATCACATTCACATAATTCGTGAGATTCACATTCATAGTAACGTTACAGCAACGTTATACTTATACGTGGTACTACAACCTTATTTTCACGTTCATCCCTCTTGCAGATTTACGTGGGGATCACATTCAAAGTAACCCTGCTGACATGTTACAAATTTACGTGAGAATCACGTTCAAAGTAACGTTGGTGCAACGTTATATGGAACGTGGTGCAGAAACGTGTATTCCACATTGAAAACCTTACACATCTAAGTAGAAACCACGTTTAAAATAACGTTGCTGGCACGTCACAGCTTTACGTGAGAATCACGTTAAAATTAACGTTGATGCCATGTTATATGTAACGTATTGCTGCAACGTACATTCCACATCGAAAACTCTCACAGATTTAAAAAGGAATAATGTTCAAAGTAATGTTGCTGCTACGTTACAGATTTACGTTGGAATCCCGTTCAAAGTAACGTTGCTGCCATGTTGTATGTAACGTGTCTGCAACTTGTATTCCACGTTCAAACTCCATACAGATTTATGCAGAAATCACATTCAAATTAACGTTGCTTCTACGTTATCTGTAACGTGGGACTGTAACGTGTATATTCCACTTTCAAACCTAGCTGTAACAGATTTAAGTAGAAATCACGTTCAGAGTTACATTTTTCTACCTTCACATAACGTGGTTCACATGTGGAAATTGCATTCACATAAATAGTGAGAATCACACCTAAAGCAACGGTGCAGTCACGTTATACTTAATGTGGGGATACAACGTGTATGCCACATCCCAAACTAGTACTAATGAACGTAACGTGGTTTCCACGTGAAAATCACTTTCACATAATTTGTGAAAATCACATTCAAAGTAACGTTGCAGCCACATTCTGCAACGTGGTATGAAGGTGGTGTTTTTGCTGAGAATAGAAAAGATGTTTAACATTTGGCGATAACGTTGATAAAACGTTGATTCCCCACGTCACATATATACCACATTTCTCCACGTGGTAAGAACGTTTTGTGTTTGTTGGGTATAGTCTTTANGCGATATGGGGTTTATTTTATGAATCCGCCATTTGAATAGTTTTAGATATACTTACGCCGCTCTTAATATCGTCAGCTAACAGTTTACTTTGGTCAGCCAACTCGACCTTATCAGAAGTTATTCTTTAGGGACCTTATATGGGCCATGTTAAAACGTCTCAACATGGAGCGTCCACAACCGAGTATAGAGGCGAATCAATCGGCAATCCTCGGTTCATTCCGCAAGCTCCATACTTTCCTCGGATGTGATAGGCGGAGAAATATGCACCAAATCCATGCATTTTGTCCGCCGGAAATGCCTTCTCACTCAATCGATCATTACGCTCATAAAGATGGCTGTCAATACCCCTGATTTTTATGATGCTTTACAGTTTGCCAAACAATGCACTAAGATTGACATTGATTTAAAGGATAAATAGATACAGGCGTTGAAAGAATTATGTTTAAATTAGCGCGAGGTTGAAAGTAGTTCCTTCCCAACAATCAACAATCAAATATGGATGCCTCCGTATCACGTCCGAGGTCATTGTCGAGTGCGGAGACATCCGAGTAGTTCCGAGTGGAGGCGAATCACACCAAAGGGAGGTTCGACGGGCATGTTAAATTACGCGTTATCAAAGGACTGAGTAATGAGGAACCCCCTCCCCCCACACCATCATCCACGAATATAACACAGTCTTGAACACAAGATGCGGAGCACGCTAATTTTCTAGTAATATGAGTCCAAAGGGAAGGCACGCACCAAAATTTTTGTGTTCTTTAAAAAATAGATAGTAGATATAAGAGCAAATACAAAACGAATTTAAATAAATTAAATGCATTTGTTTCTAACATTCAGTGAACACTTTGGTAGCATCTAAAACTCTCAAACTCCAAAAATTGGAGACCATAACAGAGTCAGCGAAAGGCACGTTTCGCCACATTTGATCACGCCATGATGGGTATTTTTTTTTTTTTTTGAGAAATATAGTGTTTTATGGGCGCCGCATTACGCGACGTGACGGGATGACTGACGTGCTGTGCATTTTTCCATGCGTTTATAACGCGTGATAATCGTAATGGCCGCCTGGATTTCTTTTGAAAAGTGGATATCACATTTACATTATTCATGGGAAACACACGTTATACTTAACTTGGGGCTGCAACGTATATACCGCATCTCTACTTATTACTGATGAACGTTGAATCACATTTAAATAATGTGGTACTCCCTGTGGAAAACACATTCACATAATTCGTGAGATTCACATTCAAAGTAACGTTACTACAACGTTATTTTCACGTTCAATCCTCTTATAGATTTACGTAGAAACCACGTTTAAAATAACGTTACTGGCACGTTACAGATTTACATGAGAATCACGTTACAATTAACGTTACTGGCCTGTAATATGTAACGTATTGGTGCAACGTATTTCCACATTGGAAACTCGCACAGATTTACAAAATAATAACGTTCAAAGTAATATTGGTGCCACGTTACAGATTTACGTGGGAATCCCGTTCAAAGTAACGTTGCTGCCATGTTGTATGTAACATGTGTCTGAAACCTGTATTCCACGTACTTCAGGCCCGTAGCCAGGGGGGGTTCGGGGGGTTCGAAAGAACCGCCCCTTTTGCTAGAAAAAGGTCCACTCTGGGTAAAATTTTATCTAGGTACATGAAGTTTTTATGAGAAAAGGTCCACTTTTTCAAAAAAAGAACCCCCCTTTTCAAATTGATGGCTACGGGCCTGTCAGTACAAACCCCATACAGATTTATGCAGAAATCACATTCAAATTAACGTTGCTTCTACGTCATCTGTAGCGTGGGACTGTAACGTGTATATTCCACTTTCAAACCTAGCTGCTACAGATTTAAGTAGAAATCACGTTCAGAGTAACATTTTTCTACCTTCACATAACGTGGTTCCCACGTGGAAATCACATTCACATAAATCGCGGGAATCACACCTAAAGCAACGTTATACTTAATGTGGGGATGCAACGTCTATGTCACATCCCTGCCTATTACTAATGAACGTTGAATCACATAAAAATAACGTGGTTTCCACGTGAAAATCACATTCACATAATTCGTGAGAATCATATTGAAAGTAACGTTGCAGCCACATTCTGCAACGTGGTATGAAGGTGGTGTTTTTGCTGGGAATAGAAAAGACGTTTAACATTTGGCGATAACGTTGATACCACCTTGGTAAAACGTTGATTCCCCACGTCACATATATACCACATTTCTCCACGTGGTAAGAACGTTTTGTATTTGCTGGTTATATTCTATTTCTTCAGTCGACTACCCAAAGTATTGTATAAAAAGCACCAAGCACCTTTACGTTTATTGAAAGTAGTTAAGTAAATACACGCAATGACTTTGAATGCTCAGTCCCCTTTGTCCGCTTCACCACTATTCACTGTGAGCTTCGAAACGTGACACAGGTTCTAAGGCTTTTATTTTTGTTGATTCTTATTTTCTTTTCTCGTCGCTATTCAGTATGAAAAGCCTCGCGTGATTACCATGAAGATCTCACGTGCGTTTTGATCTACTGCACACAAGACAAAGCATTAAACGGATGTTTGACAAAGTAGATTCTACAAAAATATTTTATTGTGTTGTATACAGTCGGAGAGCTTTTAGCACTGCTCGAATTCAACAGGTTGGGTTGACACTCCCCCCCCCCCCCCCAAAAAAAA